GGCTCGGGGGCCCCCGCCGGGGAAGCTGGGCTGATGCTTGGCTCCGTCCTTCCCCCTCCGCAGCCCCGTGCCGACGCCAAGTGGGGTCAGCGCTGTGCCTGGCGGCCCCCTGCCCGCCAGGGAGCGGGGCAGAAGGGCTCAGCCCGCTCTGGCTGCTCGCTCTTTCCCCTGTTGCCTTTGTGCCTGTCTCCACGCCGCTCCCCACAGTTTTCACAGGGCAGGAGAGACCCCATGGGTTCTGCCCCCCCCACCCCGTCTGTCCCCCTCCCTGTGGGGTCAGCGGGATGGGGCTGGTCCCAAGGTTTGGTGACAATAGGGACTGCTTGGGAGGTGGCTGTGGGGGCATCTAGCCCCTTCACCCACAGAGCTCTCCCACTGCCCGCCTCGGAGCTGCAGCACACGCGTGTGCCCCAGCCTGGGGAGGTGGCACATCCCCTCTGTCATCGCTCAGCATGTCCCCCGTTGTGTGTTTCAGCGTTGTCAGCACGGTCTGTGCCCTGGGGCGCTCAGCAGGCCACATGTGAGTACGCCCGGGGGTTCCGGGCAGCTCCTGCCGCTGGTGGCTTTGCTTTCCCAAGCCTTGACCTTGGTTCGCTTCCCCACTGGTGGTGGCTCGGGCTCCTCCGGCTGAGAGGATGTCCCTCTCTGGTGTGGGGGCTGCGATCGTCCCCAGCCTCGCAGCTGTTCCCGCAGCCCCGCTTTGGGGCTGGCCGTGCAGCATCACCAGGGAGTCTTCTGGGGGTCTGTTGTGCAACAAGCCTGGCTGTCTGTGGTCCTCCTGTCCTTGCCCTGTCTTGTCACTCTGTCCTGTCACTATCAAAGTCCCCTTGGATCTCCGCCATCCCCTTGCTCCCCACTGCCCGACATCCCTGTGCCTGGCCCGAGAGCGCGGTGGAGGGGTTATGCTGTCTCCCCACGATGGCATCCCCACCGTGTCAGGGTAGCAGAGCTGATGCCGAGCGAGGCATAAACCTCTCCTGCTGCTGGCAATGGCTCCTGCCGTGCCCCCCTCCCTGCGGTGGGACTGATGTCCCCCACCCTATGGGTCTGGCTCTGCTCGGACCCTTGCTGGAGGGTTATCCCTCTCCTGGTCCCCCTGGGGCTGGTCCCCACCGGGCTCAGGCACTGAGAGTTTGCCTCTGTCCTGGAAGAGATGGTGGCTTTGGGGATCAAATGGGCTGTGCACGGGGCAGAGGGGAAGGGTCTCCTGTCTAACGGGGATGCTGTTGCCTCCTGCCCCAGGGAAGTGTTTCCTCTACTGCAACGGGCTCATGGACCATCTGTACGTCTGCCAGAACGGCAACGGCTGCACCGCGTGGTACAAGGCCCCCACCCGCTTCACCGGCACGCTGGTAGGGGCTGCGGGCTCAGGCAGGGTGGGCAGGGAGGGTATTTGACCGTCTTCCCCCTCTAATGCCTCCCCCTGGTGCTCTGCTGTCTCCTCAGGATGCCTTCGTGAAGATCACACGCTACGAGGGCATCAGGTCTCTGTGGAGCGGCTTGCCCCCCACCCTGTGAGTGTGGACCCTGCTTGGGGGGAAGTCTGGGTGCTAACGCCTGCCCGGGCACATGGGCATCTGCCCCAAGCCTCCTGCCAGCCCCCAGGGAGGGCACTCACACCCCTCCTCCTCGGCAGGGTCCTGGCTGTACCAGCCACCGTCATTTATTTCACCACCTACGACCAGCTCCGAGACTACCTGCACGCTCGGACGGGGAGCCGGGGGCACCACATCCCCTTGCTGGCTGGGGGCGCCG